GTGAGAGATGAGGGGCTGCAATCTATTCTTGTTATAGTTGTGACATTATCCTAATCCATTGAAATTAAGGATTTATTAAGATTTTATTGGCATATTTTTTTTCTAAGTTAAGTCCCTAATGCTATTCTGTTTTATTCATTACTCCATACAAATGAGGGTATAATGAGAAATCCTAGCAAGACTGATTACTATTAGTCTATTACAAAGTATAGGAAAAGTGATAGTTTTTCAGACTCTTCAAAATAGTATACACATGAGACATGACTTTTTTTGGCCGCGGGACTGTGGGAGCATGGAATTATCATGTGTTGAATTATATTTATGCACATTATTTCTAATTGAGGGCCACTATGATAACTGTGACTGATTACAAGTGTGGTAAAAAGCAGTATCAAGAGCAGCAGTTTAAAAGACACTTGAGAATAAACTAGAAAGATGAAGAACATTTGAGGAGATCCTGAGGGCCTCACATTTCTAACAGGATTTTGAATAACTATAGAACTGCTTTCTAAATCTTAATTTTTTTAGCCCTTACATTAAGTCATTTAGTACCAATTCTCTGCATCAAACCCTTATTAGTCTAAAAGGCTAGGATTCTGACACCTGAACTTTAACTGGCATTCATCAATTCTTAAATCTTAACTAATTAAGCTAATTAAAATGGTGCTTGAATTTTGGATTAGTTTAACGTTGAACATGCATTAAATTGAAATTTGCTGACTTTATTTCTTGCTCTTTAATTTGTTAAGTATTGTGTCATGCAGTGAACAGAATATATCTTTCAGTGTATTAATGCATTATCAGCAGTTTTATCGTTTATTTCGAATCTTTCCACATTAATTTTGATGAGCCAACCTGGACATGCATTGATGCATAGCAGCTACTTACCCAATAAATTTTTGCATGTCTGATTTGCTTGGCTGATTTTTAGTATATTATATGCCCTCATTTTCTCTGAATATTGAACTTATCTTAGAATTTCATTAAAAATTGCCCTGGTATGGGATATGATGAGATTCGCCTTTCCTTTTATAACTGTAACATGGAAAAATACACTTAAGTAAACTTCTTGTGCTGATTTTGTCAGAATAGATGATTTACAGGATCAAGTATGTTGTATTATGTAATTATTATTATTCTATCTTGCATGATTATCAATTGGGTAGGTTAGTACCTACAAAGTATTAGCTTTGCATGTGTGAAGAGCCACCAAGATTTGGCTCCATTGTTATTTGTCTCTAGTTTCTAGCTCTCATGTACTGGACATTTTAAACAGGACAGAGAAGATATCTAGCTAGATCAAAATTCTAATCGAAACTGTGGGTCCTATATTCTAATTAGACTTGAGAATAATGTATGAGCATATTTTAATAATAGTAGTATGAATAATACATTGATTAGCAAGATCCACATTAATTCAGTTTTAAGGTTGATTGCTCTTTTGCCCTTTTTTTTCTTCTTTTTCTCTCCCACGCTCCCTTTTGGCTTTTCCTCCACTCATTTTGTCAGGTGCAGAGTACAGAACCTTGATTTGGCCTTTTAATTTTTTGCTCCTGATTTAAGTAATTGACTTTGTGTAATATATTCCTTTAGCCGTTAATTGTGGCATTTTTTGGTGTTGTCAAAAAAAAGAAAGAAAGAAAGAAAAATACAAGTAATAAAATTGTGGCATTTTCAATTCCATCAGACTGTCAATGTGTTTGTAGCTTAGATGAGCTTAAAAAAGGAGTTTTAGTTGCTTTTATCTTGACTATTTTGATTTCATATATGATCGACATTTGTTGCTTAACGTTCAAATTAATTAAGTCCTGTTCAAAATACTAATCTTTGCCTTAAAGTGTGATAATTTCACTTCTAACACCTAATATAATCTCAGAATTTTGCATGTTCAATCTTAAAATGATCTTGAAATCTCAATGCTGTCCTAGTTCTGATCTGCTGTAATTTTTACAGGACCCTTGTGTTTTAGGTAGTCGGATAATAAAAGCAGACAACTTATTTGAGGTCTTCAATCCAGGTTAAATGGCTCTAGATGGCAGGTCTGATTTTCTGATCGCGGGAGTTGGTAGTCTTTTCTAGTTTGGTAACTTGTGCCTACTTGCACTCGTGGGCAAGCGAGATCAGCTATGGAATCGGAAGCCAGGTCTGGCGGTTGTCACTCCTGTCAGGGAATTCAAGACCAATAATACACAGTTACACTCGCAAGCACATCAGCTGTAAGGATTCGGAACACAACTCCACATCAACAACTGGATACTCAAGCTTTTTCCCTATCATTCTGAGGGATCCATTGTACCTGGAATCTGCTGGTCAGAATTTTAAGTTTATATTAATCATCCAATGATTAATGATAGGTTTCAGTTTTTATGCTCTGTTTTTTTTTTGTTTTAACTACCAATTTTAATTGTGTGCAATGCAGCTGTCTGAAATAGAACTTTGCTTGCTCTGGAGCCGATTGTTACAGAGAGTCAGAGATTATGAAAAAAGCAGAAGATGAAGTTTCTTTGTGAGTGCATACTGAGTATGAATCTATGTTACTTGAATTCGAGTATTGGTTTTATCCGATTTTCAGATTTAGCAAGTTATGTGTCAAATATCGGAACCCATGTTGGAGCGTCAAGAATATGATGCAGGTGCTTGAGGTAATTTGGAGAGTTAAAGTAACAGAGAACAGTATAATGTCACACAGAGAAAAAAGTTCAGGAACAATATTTATATTGCATTGATCTACATTCTATAACTACAGAAATTCAGCCCACTCAACCAAGGTGAGTGTGACATTGTTAGTATCTATATACAAGAGTAATTTGCCTCTCATAATATTATCATGATTAAAAAGACCAAGAAATATGTATTGGTCAAAAGAGATCTATGTCAAAATTGAGGAGATTTAATTAGACTCCATCAATAAATCTTATTGACAGCTGAGGACATGAATAAATGTTTCTTCATTGCAGGGAATGGTGAGACCCCCCATGGGATGGTTGAACCCGAATTCTTCTTCAGCTCGACTTAGAAGATTCTGAAATGCCGGAAGTCTCAGGCATGTCAATGGCACCACATGCCGCTTTTTTTCTTCGTTACAATCTCCCACATATATCGCAACATGACCCTTTGGTACGCCTTTTTGGCTTTTGCTATGCAATTTCATGAATTGTTTGGAGGACGAAGAGATCATAGAAGGCAATTGGAAAACCATGATTAATTTTAATATTATTTTTTAAGGAAAAGCGAGTTTCTAAGGCAGGAAAGGATTTTTAGAATTATACTTGAAAGAAGTTTTGATTTGTTTTGGAAGGTTCAGGAGGTGAAGAAGGGTATTTATAGTAAGATGCAATGAAAATCCAATGATAATTTACAAGCTTTAAATGCTGAGAATTTGATTGTATTATGACCCACATTATCAGCATTCATTCACATGGTTGTGTTAATTTAGCTTGAAGTAGAGCCCTATACTTTAGTAAACCCCACATGTGCCCTTACCAAAAATAAATGGAAAAATTTGTAGCAAAAAAGAATATTCATAACAGCCTAACAAACCCATGTGAAGCAACAGTATGTATAATATGACCCATTTATAAGGTTTTTGTGACATTACAAATTGATATTATATGCTAATTTATGCAAAGTATTTGACCAAAGTTTGATAAGAATGACCCCATTTAAACATTTTGTGCACTAACCACTTGTTCACTAACCATATCTCAATTCATTTTATTGCGTTGTTTGTTGCTCCCTATATGTTCTTTGAAATAGATTGAATAGCCTAAATAGAGCAATATTATGCTCACCATGCATTAATGTAGAGCATAGTAGTTAAACAAATTGCATCGCCTTGGGCTTTATGTCTACCAAGATAATTAGCTTGTCTAGGTGGAGTGCTTTTAAAAATTTTATACAATGGTATGGAGTAAGAACACATATCGTTAATGTATGTTGTTCATATTGTAAAACGGATGTAAGAATCAAAAGTCACTTATATTTTACTGATAAGATTGCTCCTTTCACCATAATAATCACTTTTTTTTTTATTATTATTATTATATATAAAGGTAACAATTACCTTTCAAAAAATACCTCTTGAAAATCACTTATGAATGAACGAAGATTATCAAAATGTGCTTCCTTATTAGAAAGAAAGTGATGTATCTAATTTAAAACTTCTTTAGTTAAAAAGTGATGCATCAAAAAGAAATGTTACATGTTGGAAAGTATAAGACGGGGTAGACACAAGTTGGCTTAGAATAGGATGACTTGATTTTAAAGTCATCTCTATAATTAAATAAATAAGAAATGATACTAATGTCTTCACGACTTTTAATTATTATTGTAGACTTTTTCTTAATAATATTTTGAGCTAAATAGTTGGAGAAAAAAAAAAAGTGTTGTTGAGCATTACTGTTTCATGCAATATCGATGAGTTGACTTAGCTATACAAATGCTATTGATGATTTGTATAGTGTACTCACATACGCGTCCAATGCATTATTAAAAGAATCTTTCTGTACTATCAAATTATAATAATCAACCTAATTATATGTAAGTGGAAAATGATTTGTAAAATCTTCAAGTTGATTAATTTAATAAAATTATGGCATACGCCCATCATTCATGATTAATTTGATCATGTTATTCTGAATTGATTGAATAATGTTTATAATGTATGGTCCTATTTCTCTGGATTTGGTGGGGGTGCTTTGTTTAAGTACTGAAAACTATGCAAACATACATATATATTGTGAGATTGTGACTATACGGCTAATAACACCATTTTATAAGATTTGTAGCAAAGTTATAAAAGAGAGCTCTTTCCCAAATTAAAGTCAAGAAGAACCGCAATTCCCAAATTGCAGCCAAAGTTTTAAAGATTCCCAAAGTACCGTCCACGTCACCGGTTCAGGGGGAAGAAATTTTAAATCCGGTCTACAGAAAAACCGCTACCTGAAGTAGCGGTTTTTACTAATAAACCGCTACTTCAGGTAGCGGTTTCTTTTTAATAAACCGCTACTTCAAGTAGCGGTTTTCTAGCAGGTATAATTTCCTGATTTCACTTTCCTCTTTCATTTTCGTCTTCTCACCAAAATCCCATCTACGCCTTCCACCAAAATCACACCTCCTTCAACGGAAGCCGGCGCAGCCAAGGAATCCACCGACGCCGCCGGAGCATTCCTCAGCAACGAAGGCCGCCGCTGTTGACGCCGAGGGTTCGACTTTAGTGGTCGGCTTCGCTAATTTCAGAAGAAACGTGCTGATCTTCTTGTTTGTGGTAAGTGCCCTAATTATTTTTTGTATTCAGTTATTGGGTTTGTTGTTGTTATTGAGTTTGTTGTTGTTATTGAGTTTCAGAATTGTATGTATGTGTTGTTGTTGTTGGTTTTGGTTGTGTTGTTGTTGTTAGTGTTCTTGTTTATTGTTGTTGTTATTGAGTTTCGGTTTTGGTTGTGTTGTTGTTGTTAGTGTTCTTGTTTATTGTTGTTGTTATTGAGTTTCAGAATTGTATGTATGTTTGTGGTTGGTTTTGGTTGTTGTTGTTGATTTACTTACCTTACATATAACCCTTGTAGAATTATTAATGGTTTCGATCACATTACTCAGTTTAGGTTGCTATAATTGCTGATTTTGAAAGTGAAAATAGAGCTTCTATACACAAAGTACATGAGCTCAAAGTACATGTAGTCATGACTTATGCCCATGTTGAGCTTCAAGAGGTATTAAGACCTTCATAGCTCAGTTTAGGTTGCTATAATTGTGTAGTTTGCTTGCTTGATGTTAGGACATTGCCACACTGTTAATGAATTTTTGCAATCTAATATCTTTGATTAATAATGGTCTTTTCTAGAATGAAACATGGAGGTTCCGAACTACCCTCTATATTGCTATTGGGGTGGAGAAATTGTCCACAAAGATCCATGGAGCCGGTGATTCGTCCAGGCCCAGTTGATCCATCTGTTCTACGCTTGCAGACTTCCCATAGGAGCCACGATGTTTGGAGTGGCGTAGCTGATAGAGTTCTCTCAGTTAGGGAGCATATGGTCAGCGTGGGACGTGAGTGGAGGGTAGATGGCGGAGTACTAGAGTACGTTAGGCTTGCTGGGTTTTACGGTGTACATAGGATTTTGGGAGGAGGGTTTTTGCTTGATCGATCTCTTCTTACGGCGTTGGTTGAGAGGTGGAGGCAGGAGACACATACTTTCCACCTAGTGGTAGGTGAGGCCACCATTACTTTACAGGATGTCTCCGTCCTGTTAGGTCTGAGTGCACGGCCCTCCTGTCATTGGACCTCCATTTGAGGGATGGCATGACCTAGTTGAGGAGTTGCTGGGAGTTCGACCTGGCCATGATGATAACGGTAAGCCGTTTCTGGAGGGATCTACTTTGAAGTTGACGTGGCTCAGACGTCACTTCTCACAGATGCCAGAGGGAGCTGATGACTTGACAGTTCAGCGCCATAACCGTGCTTACATTCTCACTCTCATGGGATCTATTCTGTTCGCCGACAAGAGTGGCGATGTTGTGTCACTCTACTACTTGCCGTTCCTTCGAGACTGGGAGACAACTTCGACCTACAGCTGGGGGAGTGCAACTCTTGGTTTTTTGTATCGGCAGCTATGTCGAGCATGTCAGCAAGATTGGAGGCCCGCTCATCCTACTACAGTTGTGGTCGTGGGAGCATATTACTATTGGCCGACCATACATTAGGAGGCCTCGAGATCCGCCACAGGAGGACCCTGAGGCTGAGGATGAGGATGACATTTTGGGGACTCAGCATCAGCGAGGTGTTGACCCTTTGGCGTGCAGGTACAATGTTTGCTTCAAGTTCATGTTCTTACAATTCTATCTTTCAAGAATTATTATTAACATGTCTTTACAGGTGGTTACGTGTCCATCTATCGTGTGCGCATACTGCTTCTGGACTACCATACTACAGAGATGTGTTTGACCATCAGCGCGAGGACCAGGTATAATCGGTGTTTCTTTTTTTTTTTGTGCATTGTATTTCTTCCATTATGTTAGTCATATACATGTTGACATACTTGTTTTGGGAATTAGATGATTTGGCAGCCATATACTGAGGCGGTGATGGATCGACTTCCGGAGATTTGTGCACACTATGCTGTGCACACTATGCCGATCAGACCACCACCTTCTACTGTGCACACTATGCCGATCAGACCACCACCTCATCGTGGAGGCCATTCAGCACGTGCCTTCCGTCCACCGACTCCTTCTCAGCATACTATCATGACATCTCCTCCACTAGTGCATCGCCAGTATCAGAGAAACCGACGGCGTAGCAACACTACGTCTGGGGTTGGAGTTGGCCTGGATGACATTCCAGAGGAGACAGCTGCATCATCTTCATCGTCACCTCATGGGAAGAAGCAACACCCGAGCTAAGTGTATATTTTGGAACTAAACTAATTTTTTTGTAAATGCTTAGAATTGGATTTTGTTATATTTAATCAATTGAAAAATATTCGACTTTGCAATTTCGACTTCCTTAGATCTTCATAAACTTGTTATTTATGGTGGTTGTGTTGAAAATATGCTATATATCTCATGTTTTACAGGTACACAACTTGCAGGTTTTTTTTTTGAGTGATTATGCAAGTTTGAAAAAAAAACCAGTCCAGGGTAAACCGCTACTTCAAGTAGCGGTTTTTCAAAGTAAACCGCTACTTGAAGTAGCGGTTTTCCAAAATAAACCGCTACATAAAATAGCGGTTTTTTGTAAACAAACCGCTACTTCAAGTAGCGGTTTTAAACTAAGAAACCGCTACTTGAAGTGGCGGTTTATTGCAAAGAAACCGCTACTTGAAGTAGCGGTTTTAAACTAAGAAACCGCTACTTGAAGTAGCGGTTTTAAACTAAGAAACCGCTACTTGAAGTGGCGGTTTATTGCAAAGAAACCGCTACTTCAAGTAGCGGTTTACCCTGGACCGGAAAAAAAAAAACCGGTTTTTTAACCAGTGCTTACGTGGACGGTAGAATGGGAAAATAAAAAGATTTGGCTGCAATTTGGGAATTGCGGTTCTTCTTGACTTTAATTTGGGAAAGAGCTCTATAAAAGACAACATCAAATATTGGCAACTGAATGAATGAATGTTCTAGAGTTTTGATTTTCTTCCCATGTGAAAAGATCTCTAGAGCTTATCCTCCTGCATTTAAAGACTTTTAATTACTAGGGATTTGAGTAACATGACAAATATTTTAGATATTTAGATGGAGTGGAATTTTTTGAAGTGTGCTTACCCTGTAATGCAAAATTATTTATTTATTTACATTTATTGTAGATCCACGTACCAAATTAATTAAATTATACGGGATAATGTAAGTTGATACTTGTGATTACTTTTTGATGACATATAATTATTATGGAATGATACTAATGTAAAATTTAATGTTGCCCTAATAATTTAGAAATACAACATTAAAGCTTATTTTGGCAAATTTCTTCCATTTGTTTGTTATAATCTTCATACGGAGTATAAGATTGTTTGTGTTTTACATAATGGAGTTAACCAGTAATACTTCCAAAATACGAGTAAATAGAATGTAAATAGTATCACAAATGGCCTTTGTTTTCTTCTTGATTATTGTACAATGTGACATTGATATAAGGTGAACGATTAACCCAAACCACCTAATTCACTAAGAGGTTGCTAGTCATTAGCTACAAGAAAAGAAAAAAAAAATTGATACCCTTAATTCTATTCATGTTGTTTGGTTGGACATTGCACCCACCCTAGATAGGTGCTTCCCTCAAACCCTTAAAACTCCTCTACAACCCCGCTACCACAACCACCATCGGTACCACTACTACAATCACCATACATCCGACCACCATCATCACTCGTACTCGGCCCCAACACGATCACAACCACCATCCAAACCAACAGTATTTCATTACCACTAATAATCACTTCTCATATCCACCATTATCCTAACCACTATTATTATTATCATATTACAAAGTCCTAAATGATAACACTACATTACTACGTACTAATTAATTAATTATCACACCAGATAATGATATAATCAGCCTTGGATCCACATGGTCCTATAATGCCAATTAATTACAAATTTGCAATATTTCATGCTGACATAATGGATAATTAATAATGTTATGCTTGATTAATCACGTGATCCCATATGCAGGAAGTGATCACCTCATAATTAATCAACTCTTTGACTATATAGCCTTTCAATGTGTAAGCTTGATTTTAGCATTTGACCAGCTTTACTACTTTTGTATGAAATATACATGATTAATACGGAGTACTACTTGAAATATATCCATATTTTTTAAGTCAACTAGCTTAAACTTTACTTTTAATTGATTTTTTTAGTGAGGTGCAATGTAATCAACATTTTCTATTTTAGCACGTACACACTGTACGTAATTAATAATAACGTTGCCATTAATTGTACGAGTAGTACAGTTATTTAATTTGCATGTATGCATGCACTATTATATGGTGAGAATTATCTTTAATTAGTTTGAAGGAATAATATTTTGATAGTTTTAGCAATGTACTTGTAAAATTAATATCGTGTTGATTACCAAAAGCAATTGCGATTTTCATTTTGATTTTTTAATTTACTTTGTAGCTGGTTTCAATATATATCTATAGTTTAAAGTGATCTTCATTCTTGAATCTCACATTTTCTTATCGTGTATTTAAAGAGATTAATAAACAGTGATGAGTTATGCTACAGTAAGTTTATCTATCAGTCTATGTATAAGAAGCAGAAATTATTAAAATTGAATCAATTAAATAATTCCCATCAATCATAACCTTTAACAAAAAAGAATAGTAATCATGTAGGTGTATTATATATAACCAAAATAGTTTTTGAAAGAATGTATGTGCTTGCATGGTTAGCGATGTTATCTAATCACGCATGCATTATTATTCAATTGAGATACAAGATTGAGGTAGAAAATTTCAGAGCAAGGCAAAATTAAGCCATCTTTTCCATGATCATAACCAAAAACTTCGGCAGCATTTCTCAATAGTTCTTGAAATAGAGGGTTCTTCAAGTAAGAAATCGGAACCACGAAACGCTTCTTTTCTTCTTCATCGTCGCCTACATAGATTACAAAGTGCCCTCTAGGTACTCGTAGTATGGCTAATTTTTGTTTCGAAAAACGTTGTTTTATCGAAAATATAAGCTGCCTTACTTGCTTAGTATGAAAAATTTCTTTGATTTGGATTGCCATATCAATCTTAGAAGAGTTGATATGATCAAGTATATATGTTAAGAAACTATATGAAGTATAAGCTAAGAGAGTTATACTTGAATTGATTGATTTAGTTAATAGGTTTGAATTGTGTGTATATATATACATCATAAGAAAAGAAGTCAAATTAATTTGTTAAGAGACAAGAGTTAAGATGAAAATAGGGTAATATAATTAATAATGTGCAAATTGAGAAAGATTTTATCTCAATAGCAACTTGAGCATAGTAATAGAATTCTCTATAAAAACTTTATATTATGTAAATTAATATATTTGAAAACTTTGCAATATTTTTTATGTTGTTTGGATTATGAACAAATTTAAGGATTTCAGGTACATATCACATGGAATTATCAATTATATGTGGCAAGTATGTGTGCCATTTGGATTCGTTATATGTTGAGAAATTTATTAGACAAAATTGCAAATTGTCCACCGTTTCCTGCGTATAATATAAGCAATAGACGCCATTTATGTGCATGATCAAAATATTCAAAAAGTTTTGTACTCATCATATCTGAGATGTGAATTATTCTAATTCAATATATTTGCGTTTTGTTTAATTTCTTAGTAATTATTTTCAGATAAGTACTATATTTGGACTTTGGAGCAACAAAAGCAAAAGAAAAAATAAACTAACATAAGAAAACTAGCTAATTAAATGTTCCCGCCGGCACCATTTTAGTCTGCATCACTCCACTCAGGTCCTCCAATAAAACAGCTTAGCTTGAATATCCTTTGGGATCGCCTCAATATTTAATTATTTATGCCTATATGATAAGAGTTATATTCTGTTTTATTTTTCCATTTTGTAAGTATAGTACATGGCAGACATAACTAACAACTTGCTAGCTATATATATCAAAGTTTATTTGTCAATATATTCCAAATTTCACACATCACATAATAATTTGTTTACCAATATCTGCATTATTTAATTTTGACTTTATGTAACACACTTATCGTTCATGTTAGCTTTAGAGAGACTTAATTAACCTTTCCAATTTAATTTATATGGAGTATAAGGTAATAATACTTAACTTTATTTATTGTCAAAAATAATACTCAACAATCATGATCTATATTGTAGAAGATATTTATTTATTAGTTAGGCCATGTTCTCTTCACCTTAAAAAAATAATATTAAGTAAAAATAATTTCACTTCAGTAAAAATAAGTTCAGTTCAGTAAAATTAATTTCAGTTCAGTAAAAATAAGTTCAGTTCAGTAAAATTCAGTTTTCTTAAAGAAGAATTATAATACAAAATCAGTAAAAATAATTTCAGTTCAATAAAAATAATTTAAGTTCAGTAAAAATAATTTCAGTTCAGTAAAATTAAGTTCAGTTCAGTAAAAATAAGTTCAGTTCAGTAAAAATAATTTCAATTCAGCAAAATTAAGGTGAATCAAACAGGGCCTTACAAAGACACTATAACGTTTAAACTTTAAAGTGTCAAGAGACAATACCGTACTAAATAAATATAATAATTTTAAAAGATCGATTTATTAAGAGGTCGGATATACCAATTATTTTACAACAAGTGGTGCAACAAACTTAGGTCTTAATTGTAATTACGTAGTTGGAGCTCGAGAAATTTCTTCCCATTGGTCATTGCATTGGACATAGGTAGACATGCATTTTAGTTTGGCAAAGTTTATTGCATGTTTTCTGGTTGAGTTAGTTTTGGCGCAAAAGGATTGTATGAAAGTAAGAACCATTATCTTTAGCATTACTTTATTTAGCTGTTTTCTTTAGTACTATTCCGTGCTATTTGCTAGTACAAAAATGATTCTGAACAACTTTGCATGCCACAACAAGTTGAGCAGAAGCCGAAAGAAAAGGAGAAAATACAATTTTATATTCGTGATAAACAAAAATCCTTTATTTAATGACATTTTCGTAAATAAATCAACAAAACATTCTACTCAGCATTGTTATTTTCGTAAAAAATAAACTATTGGTGAAGCAAGTCTCGCAATACCTTCTCTTTCAAATAAAATAAGTTTTACTTTATCGTCTTGGAGTTGGAGCATTGTTAAACTATTCTCAAACACATTATATTATGTTCCACAAAGTTTTTCCCTCTTTCAGTTGATTATATTCCATAATTTTATTTTTTTTTTCCTACTCTACTCAATTTTTATCGTAGGCAAAGAAAATGTTCCATTTATCCTTAGTTAGTTGGTCCATCCCATCCTTGGGATTCACTTCTCGCACTTATTAATTTCCAAATATGATTTATCTATTATGCAAAAAAGGAACAACCAAATCAACCAATGATCTTACTTTAATTTTCTCACTTTTCCAGATAGTATTTGTAGTACGTGGAGATAAAGTTAGAGGGGATCCGATATTGGCGATATGGATATGGAATTGATTTATATTTTAGTCTATGATTGATTATGGTGTTATAGACACGTACTTCTACTAATAGATACTTGTATGATGAATCACTTAGCTAGCTAGTTTGGTATAATAAATCGAGATTGATACGGTTTGTCTAACTGATTTATCTAAGTGGTGCCCATGGATACATGTTAAGTTATTACAATAATATCTTGTGTGTTAAGCGTTATTAAAAATCAATTTTTATGTTGATTTTCAATTTGAACGGAATATGTGTACATACATATGTAGTAATAGTAGTAGTATCTATATATATGCATACCGGCCAATTGTGTAACTCTCTTAAACCTTTGGAAGAGTACAAGTTTAGTCCAATTATTATCTATGAAACATATCAACCAATTTTACCCATATTCATCTCTTAAATCACATGCCAATGTACTCATCTTCAGATAAGATCAAAAACTATATAAGATGTTATCAATATATATATAGTTATAATTAACTCAAAAATTGAAGCATAGAAGTTTCACTATTTTGTGTACGAGTTTATGCCCATACTATTGCATGATGAGTTGCTTTTTCCCAGCTTATAATAGAAGTGTTGGTGCCCATACTATTACAGTTATATAAATGGATATACATGATTAATCAAACACCAAATCCTACCAAGTGTTTCTTGCTTTTGTTGGTGCAATAAGGGAAGCTAATTACTACATTCTTGTTGTTTGCTCGGCCTTTGCGCGAGGCAATATATATCATGCCGACTTTCAAATTTCATTTCTTAAATAAGAAAAGAAAAACTACATCTGTCCAAATTTAATAGTCATGTAACATTTTGATAGTGTAATTTGAATTATTCATGTGATAACTAATTAAATTCAATCCGATGGTCCATCATTTGAAATGTAAAGTACAATCATTCGCATATAATACCATTAATAGATCTTTCAATCTCCAACGTGACTATTATTAAATAATTTAGACAATGTATCTTTTTTCTGGCGGAGATCGATCTTCACATTCAATTTGATGTGTATATACTACTACATACAAAGTATTAATAAGGATTTGTCATATCTTTATATCATTTTCTCAAGTTATGAACATTTTGTAAGCGAAGAGACAATGTAACACTAAAAGATGGGCAGAAAAGACGCCTTACACGAAGGAGAAACAAATTTATGACCCAATTATACCAAACAAAGTATAAGCAAAAGAACATAACATTGTAATCAAGAAAGAGACATAAAATACGTACGCCAATTTAGCCATTCCTCATTCTAAGAGATATTTCTCAAAACATAACGAAAATAACATCGATAATATGAAAGAGACACAAATATAAGTAGGTCATATATGAAGGCTAGCCAAATGTTTGTAGTAGCTAGCAATTTGAAGTTTAATTTGAAGATATTTTTTTTTTTCAAAATGTTAGAGACAAAAAGGTTAGAGAAAATGGAGGGTAGCTAAGTTCCTCCATGTGAGAGATACAGTATCATAAAGTTTAATGTTTAGATGAAGACATAAAAGTGTATAGTAGATTAAATCACCATGTATATTATTGGTAGAAAAAGTTGTAATATTATCCAAGTTTGTATGTTAAAGATAAGGAAATAAAAAAAAAATCGTTAAGCTTAATTAAGCTTATGGTTGAAACCCAGAATCGATTTATATATTCTATCATGAAAAATGAGATAATTTATGCATATATAATTCACAGTGTCTTGAAGATCACATAATTTAATTAGTCAATCAAAAATTTGAAAAATAAACAATTTTTACCGTGATCTTAATCATGAAGGTATACATGGTCGATCATTCCAACCCATGGACAAACATGATGAACAATTAAAAGCTAAGATGGCTAATTAATAAATAATCTACTACTACGTACGAAGTAATATAACTAGTTAACAATTTCTTACGACGAACACCTAATGAGAGATATGAGACTCGAAAAATAGTCTTCGCTACAAGGGATTGTAAGACCACCCATGGGATGATCATACCCGAACTCTTCCTCCACCACATGAAGTACATTTTGAAACAAAGGGTGGTTCAAGTAAGAAATTGGGATGACTTGCCTCTTCTTGTAAGTCTCTCCTACGTAAACTACGACATGTCCCTTTGGTACATCCGCGTTCGAGCTTGAAGGTGACCGCGTCTTCTTGTTAGATAGAGTTCTTTGAAGAATTCTCTTTGCTTGCATTTTCTCCATCAATTGAATACCCATGATAATATTGGTTTTGGTTGTTCTTAGCTTCACTCTCTTAAAATTTTTAGTGGTATTTTTTTTTTATGTATGTATGTAGTATTTGAGTTGAGTGTGTTTGATGAAATGATAAGTTGAGCATGAAAGGGTTATATAGTGTTTGTAATATTACCGTGGGGTGTAAATGTAATTACACTATGATTTGCGGATCACACCCACGGTTTGTTAGTTGTATATATTGAGCATTTAGTAGACAAGGAGGCCCATTCTTTTAAATGATTACCCAATTTGCCTTAGGAAAATGTCCAAGGCAATGCATATAGACTTGATATGTTAAGTTCTCCCAAATATAAATTTTAAAATAAAAAAGGGATTAATTAAATTCATTTTTATAATATGAACTTAGTTAGAGTGTATAATATATAGGTTGGTGTAGTAGTCTAGTACATAGTTTGTTGTATAAGTACAACTCCAATCCCTTCGTTCCACTAAAGTTCTCTTATGTATGAAAATAATTATTGATTTATATCAGTCTTATTAAAATTAATTTGCCTAGTTTGTTTAATGGTATACATAATTAATACTTTTACGATCTGTATGCAATTACTAACAGATTAAAAAAACTGTATATTTTAAATGAGGTCACAATCTTAGTGAGACGAAAGAAATAATTATCTGTGTGGTTGTGTTTGAACCTAATTATTATTCATTCTAGTTGTTGGAAGTGGCCCCGTATTTTCCAATAGGAATTGTCGACTTGACCACAAAACTAGAATGAAGCTTTTGGACCAATTTTGCTTTTTTGACATCAATAAAGAGGGAGACAAGGACATATCACATGCTAATACGTGGGTTATATTTTTGTTGCTAACTAAGAAGAAAAAAAATAAAAACCAATATATATATCTAAGTGTATACTATATTCTGTATGTAAGATAAGTGGATATACCAACTATTAGATAAATAAATTAAAGTGGCTAGAAGCTAGCAATGTATCATGCTCAGGTTTGGACGTACAATGTAGTGGATTAGAAGTATACACCTACATTTGCATGTGTGCTTTGTGGGGGAGAGTCGTGGATATGTTCGAAAGAGTCAAATTTTAGGTGGTGTGCATTAAAAATGATAGAGAAATGGTTATGGAAGCTATACGGGCCGGGTATAGTTGTTACATCTTACGATGGGTGGAAAAATAAAAAATTTATGTAGTTCGTTAATAATATGTTAGCTACATTCATGTGAAAAAAAGGTTTTTAAAAAGTTACGAGCTGAGCTAGAGTACAAACTACAAAGTAATGATATAAAGAATAGGTTTATTTTACCCTTATTGATGAGTTTATAATTATGTACTGTTGGGTCACAAGATATTCCAGATTCAAGGCATTCAGCATTCCAACAATACCATCAAATACAATAATAATGGTGAGGAGGAGGTAGGGATAAAAATCATAGTGGCTTCATATTATGTTGTATATATAGGAACAAGGTAAACAAATTAAGGGATGAAAAAATAATGTGTTGTCGAACTTGGAAACCTCAAAAGAGTTGACAGATTAAACAATCTCAACTAAAGTTGTGGTAATATTTTGGAAAGGTGTATGTAGTGAGATCGTGTTATTTAGTTCATGTACATATGGCTACATGTAACATGTTACATGTTTACTATATTACCTTGAGCGATTGTGGTGATGTGTGTCTTATGATGGTTAATTAGTGATATATGAAGTATTTGATAGTCATTACCTCTTAAGGCGATTGTTGGTACTATAATGAGGTGGTGAATTATCATTACTTGATGTATGGTTGTAATAGACTCATATCTATGAGTGGACTTATAGGATTTTCTTCGCAAATATAGATGGATAAGAGCCCACTTCTAATGTGGGAATCTTTGAAAAAAATACTCGAGCATAAAAAGTCAAGTTCTTAATTCAATCCAACACAATAAATATTTTATAAGATTTTCACTTACTTATTATTGCTTATTATGATTTTTGCCAACAACAAGCAATACTAATTGACATATTATTCTATTATTAGTAGCGTTAATCTCTAACAAATTATAATATGAGTAGACTTTACATTAACTTAATTGCATTGCTTTCAAAATTATTTAATTTAATTTGATGGCCATAAGAAAAGCTAATATGGGGCCGAATTACTACCATTAAAATTGACTTATCAAATGCAATTTTGCCCACAAATGCATGCACATTTGACAAATGACAAGACCACTAAAACATGATGTAGAATCTAATTTAATCATTATTATTAGATCAGAAAATGACTTCTCTTTAGTTCTAATCAACATTGTATGCCACTTCCAAAAGGTTTGACCTACTTGAGTTATACCTTTCAAATTAGGCTTTTTAGGGTTACCTTTCAATACTTCTAAGTTTAACTTGAAAGTAGTATAGTCTTTATCCTTGTGATCAATCAGTTGGATATTTTGAACTTAAATAAAAAATAACAATAATAATAATATTAATAAATAAATAAATAAAATATCATTTCATGTTATACGTATGATATTGGTGTTTCTGTATTGTATTATGTTATACTTATGAATTTATGATAGTATAGTCTTTATTCTTGTGATCTCTGTATTGTAATCATTCTATTGCTTTTTTTAGAAGAAAAAAAAAATCATTCACATGTGAAACCATGTCAAATTTTTATGTACCTTGACATGAAATTGTACATGGTTACGTTGACATGGTTACTTTCTATTTTTCTAAGGCCTCAAAGTTACTTTTTTTTTTTTTTTTTTTTTTTTTTTTTTTTGAAACAAGCCTCAAAGTTACTTTACATGATCATAAGATTGTAAAAACACGTAGAAAAATAATTAAGTACAAGTATGAAGTATAAAAAACGCAAATCAAAGAGAAAAGATAGCATGCACTTCCTTTTGATTGAAGGGGACTAGCTAGAGAAGTAGGAGTAACAAGTAAGTCTTCGGTGATATTGATAAATGGTGAGACCACGCAACATATGTAGTGATAGTAAATTTGTGAGACTAAAAATAAAACTTGCAAACTATTCCTAGGTCGATGTCTGTGAACGGAACATGCGGCGGTGCACATTGTTTCAATTCACACGGCTTCCGTTACTTGGCGGAAGCAGAAAAATTCGTATATTAAATGATCTCGGCCTCAAACTCATAGAGTTGTATCCTACGAGTTCAAAACTAGTTCTGATAATAGACCAATAATAAAGGTCCAATACTCGAGCTAATGATACTAAATCGTCTAGATGAATACTCGAGCTCAAATTTTGGATTAGGCTTAAGTTGGGCAAGATTTTATGACATATATTTGGTTCTGAGTTTAAGTTGGGCAAGGTTTTATGACAGGTTCAATGATATATTTGGGTTAGAGTTTAAGTTAGATAAGGTTTTGATAAGACAAAAATTATGTCATTAAAAGCCTTACATAAAGGACGGGCTTTGACTCCGTCATTAATATAGGGAAAACTTTTGTATACACCCGGTTTTCAGTAATTTACTGTACATCGGGTACACTTTTGTCAGATTTAGTGTCACTTTTGTCAAATTTAGTGTCACTTTTGTCAAATTTATCAATGAAGCATAAATAACTCATATATATCAGGGTAAAGTTTTATGCGTTTTAGTGTAACTTTTGCATATTTTATTGTCGCTTTATAACGGATGTTCTCTGTTTTATTTAAAAGTTTGTGTTAATATAGATTGTCGTTATTGGGCCTATATAAGAAGCCGGTCACAATTGGATTAGGTTTCGGTCCCTTGAGGACTATCATCAACAAAGTGGATACGTACCATGCATTAAAATAAATCTATCATGTAATGCAACACTATGCTATTTTCTGAGTTGCCACCAGCCTAATAATAAATCAGAGGATACGATATGCAACTTTCAAGTGAACTATTAAGGAGGCGGAATGTCACGTCGCTTATATAATCATCCTAATAATAAGCACCTTAATTTGCTGTTGTATTTGGACAAAAGGGCATGTTCCAAATCTAGGAATGACACTGCTCAGTTTTATCTTATAAATGATGGGTTTGTTGAATTGTTGTATTAAATAATTTCCCTGTTTTTTTAAAACTTAGGACGCAATTTGTCTGCTTACCTTCTTTGATAATTATTTAGATAATGTGCCTAGCTACAGGCTGAGGTATATGTTATTAGAATAGATATACATTGTATAGTTTCCTTATTGTATTAGGGTTATGTTTGACCCTACTTTGTGTAACCTATATACTTCTTCCCTTTTTTATATATATAGTTGTAACAGTTTGATTTTTACACTATTTATTATATTTGTTTCACTTTAACTAGCTTTGACGCCATTAACGGCTTGCACTTAAGTAAGAATATAGTCATATGGAATTGTGTTAGATTCGTCTCGATTCTACTATTTTAATATCAAATGTTTATAACTTTACATATTGGTAATTAAACATATTAACGATTGAAAACATGCATCGATAAGTGTGAAAAAAGAAGTGTTTGCAAGTATATATAGATCAAGGTTTAATTGTCGTTTGCTCCCAATATGTCTCTCAGTTTGCCTAATCTTAACATGCATGATGTAACAATAATATAAGGCTTTTTTCAAAGAGTAGCTTCAAGCATTAATCTGTACATAGATCAAAGACGTAAAACAAATATCTGTCACTTAAATAAGCTTTAAATACTAAGTTCAAAGGATGCCAAATGACATTTTCAAGGGAACTATTGAAGAACTAAAATGTCACTATTAACCATCATCACATAATTAAGTAGTACCGTAATTGGCAAACAGATATGTTCAAAGGTTTAGAGAAAGAGAGCTCAATTTCATAATTAAAATGGGACCTTCATTTATATTGTGTGGTTCTGCGTAAACCTCGGATGATGCTATAGCCAAGCATTCGGCGAATTCGGTTCCATGGATATACAACTTGGTATGAGAGGTGAAAGTGTAGTGTGAACTGTGAAGTGTCTAGTGTTCAATGCATATATAGGAAGATCATAAGCGTGTTAGTGGTCCTGTTTATTGAAGTTGCCCTAAGATTAAGAGGCTAAGAATCGTCGAATGCAACGCTAAAAATATTGTCTTTTAGGAAAAATGAAAACATTAAGTTATTCAACGCTAAGGATATTGTCGGATATATGGTCCTAGGGTTAAAAAAAGTTGTTTTCTCAAGGGTATGTAAAATCCCATGTTGGCTTATTAGAATTAAATATTCCTCTATCATATTATCCTTAATGGTTAAATTACTTCCTTCGTAGTGACACAGTTAATGAGTTTTAAATTTATGTAAGTGAAAAAAAAAAATTAAATGAGTGAATGTTAAAC